CTTAGTTGGTGTTGGAGTAGGCAATATCTATGTAAAAAATTTTTAATTTATTTTGTGAAAGAACATCATATTATATGTATATACCTCCTCAGCCTCATCACTATCTATCTCGTCAATATCGCTTCCTTTTGCCCATTCAAGAATTGCTCTTTTAGCACTTGAGCGTGTAGGACGTGTGCCTAATTCTCTTGAATCTGTATCTGATTCTTGTAAGCGTCCATTGCGAACTGGCAAATGATAACTATGGTCGTTTTCAGCAGGATTACGTCTTGAACCTGCTGCGCCACGAGTAATACGGGATGAGACTTCTGGTAAAGTACTTGAACTTGTACTAGGACCATTGGCAACATATGTTGTACTCTGCGCTTTGGGTGGTCGACCTTTTTTCTTTGGTGTATGCTGGTCCGTATCTTGAGTGCTTTCATCTATTTGGGAAACTACTACTGTTTCCTCATCACCGGAAGATTGGTATCGTCGACGTTGACCTCTTCGAGAATTTTTCGGATTTGAAACCGTTCTTTTAATACCATTGGCAGTGGGTTTACTTTTTTTATGTACACCATTTCGTTTACGTTGCGTCTGTTTTTGTTTATTATATTTTCGACGTTTTTTATTTTGACGACGATCTTTTAAGGGATTATAACTTTCTTCTGAATCATCATCTGAATGAGATTTTCGTTTATTTTTTTTTCTTGGAGAGCGTCCAACATTTGAATCATGGTCGTCATCGTCGTCATCATTATTATTACTATCACTGCCATCCCCACTACTTTCATCTTCACTTGATACATCATCGGCTTCACTATTGGAGCTACTCTCATTTTCTTCACTTTCATTTTGTTCATTTTCTTCGTCTTCCTCTTCATCTTCGTCATCATCCTCATCTTCATTTAGTTCTTGACTATGCGCTTTACGTCGTGAACTACGTGTAGGTTGTGCATCCTCTGTTCCATTTATTCGTCGATGTGATGATGAAGTAACACGATTAGATGAGTTTGATGTTACAACCTGTGAACGAGTTGGCCCATTTCTTCCAACTCGTCGTTGACTACTGCGTGGCTGCGAATCATCTTCATCATTCTCGACATCTTCGTCAGAACTACGAATTTGTCGATTAGATTTATTATTTCTTCGAGTAGAAGGTCCAGGACGATTTCTTTCAGATTGTGTCCTTTTCGTAGGACTACTACTTGATCCTCTACCACTATTCTTTTTGTTTTTATTAGCGCGCCGTCTTGCAGCTTTCCAGTTGCTGACGACGGTTTTTATGTGAGACTCAAAAAGAGCACTGAGGCGAAGCGTCATAGAATAAATCTGTAAGTAGAAAATGAAAGGTAAAAAATTATTTAACACCTTAACAAATTATAATAACTATAAGTGAATTAATTATTTATTCACTCTTTTAATATTCTAAATCTTACCGAGGAATAATCCTACATTCGATCGTCAATCATTGCAATGTTTGATTTGATATGATTGATTGAAAGCATGGTTAGGAAAGAAAAATATGTGATGATGGTGATTTATCAAAAAATTAATGAGAAAGAATTGATATTAGAATGAAATATTAGAAGTAGTAGATGAATTTTACTAAAAGTTCACAAAATGAATTGACGATCTTTTTAGTAGGCTCACCACTTTTTACACAAACAATGAAGGTAACACTTACTCTTGAGCGTTTGTTAGTGTTGTAATTCTTCGAGTTAATAAATATTAAGCGCACATCTTTTGCAAAATCCAAAGGATCATCATAATTTCCACCTAGCAAATCTTCCTTAACAGTGCGTAAGTCCATTGGAGTCGAAATTATTTCCAAATAATCTGGAAACTCAATTGTATCAACAGGTTCTCGAAATGGCGCTGAATCTGGCCTTTGCCAAAGTATATCTAGTAGTTGCCTGCAGTCGGAGCGCCAATCGCCATCTGAACGTATACGATTAGATCTAAAAGAGTAAAAATATTGAAGATATTTAATATGAAAAATGTATTAAAATACTTACCTTCGTGTTGATGATAAAGTTCTTCGCGCTGCTGCCGGCGTAGTAGCGCCTGTACTTGTAGAAGGCACAACATCAGAATCACGCTCATTCTCAGTTTCAGATGAATGATAGAAATCAACGTATTGATGATAAGCTGCGGCTACATCAATATCGCTAAGTTCCCTAAATATAAAAATAATATTAAGTAAAAAACTTTTTTTAATTTCGTCAATTGGTAGTACCTAATAATCCTCAAACAAAGTTCTGTGATGATGCGTGCGTGTTTAATAATGTTTGTATGTGACCGATTATATTTTTCCGCATTTGTCGCTAAATAACGAACATCAAATTGAGCTGAAGTAATTCTACGATAAAAATGATTTTCAAAACGAGACTTTATCGTAGTTAAATCAATAGGATATTCTATTAAATAAGCATAATCTGGATATATATTCAAATCAACAGGAGCCAAAAAATGTTCAGCTATAGATAAACGCATAACCTTAAATATTGAAAATGTTAAGAAAAATTTTTACAATATGGACAAAAATGAAAATTACTTGTTCAAATCCATTAATTATACGTCTACAAGATCCATCTCTATCACCTCGGTGCCATTCTTCCGACTTAGGTTGATATAAGGTTGCTCTAATTTCTTCTGGCAGTACAGGAACTGCACCACCAACTTCGTCAGGCAAACGATTCTCATCAATAGGTTCCATATCCCAAGGGCTCATATATTCGTATTCTCCGTTATCCCATCTTACACGAAAACACATAAAATATGAATTCGGAAACTCTGTCGCCAAAGCATGTCTAGATTCAATTTGACCCATCCACCAACCATCGCCAATCATACAACGAAATCGATCACCAATATTCCAATTCCTTTGCACTGCAAGTTCAAAAGTTTGCCGCAAAACTAAAAAGTCCAAGACATCTGGCATGTCATGGTACTTTATTTTAAATGAAGAACCTGTCATATTTCCATCTTCATCAACCATTGCAAGTTTAAGACAACATAAACGTGGTGGACGAATTTCATACTTAATCCCGATCACTCGAACTAACTCATGATCTCGCAAAGTTCGACAATTCCAGGGTTCTGAACTTTGTGTAAGTTTATAAACCTTTTTTTGGTTAACAGCTTCTAAATAACGTTGATGACCTTGTCGAAAATATACAACTTCGTCACCCATTTGAGGGTAGTAAGGTGCTTTACGAGGAATAACCTCTGATAACCATTCTGATGGACGATATAATTCAGATATTTCACCATTTGGAGCTGTTGGTGGTTGGGATCTTTTATTTCGACGTGATGCATTGGCTGCAGCAGAAGTTGATGCTTGCTCTGTTTCATCACTACTATCGTCACTAAGCGTGTGACGTCGGGATAGTGGCTTACGTTTACAACGTTTAGGTGGTTCCAAGTTTGGACCAGGAGTATCAGCAACCCAATCTGAGTAATCAGAGCTTTCTGTATCCGAATCATCAGATGATTCTAGATTTTCTTCTGCATTTGAATAATTTGTATCGCCAGACGTTGCGCTACTATCATCATCTTCTTCAGGCGGAGCAGGAATTGATTCTTCTTCTTCACGCACTGCACGGGTACGATAAGCTGGTTGGGAAGGTTGCCCGCGTCTCCGGCCAGCACGTCCACCATTTGCTCTAGTACTTCGTTGACGACCAGAACCCTGTGTTGAAGTAGCTGCATTAGAGGTGTTTATCATAATAGGACGACGCCTTAACTCTCTCTTATATTCTTGCATTTCAAAATTTCCAGAAGCATAAACATTTTGTCTTAAATTCTGTAGTTGAGCATATTTCATGGGACGTATATAGATTCGCCGTACATATTTCATGAGTGGCGACTGAATTTGCTGTTCTGGAGGTCTTCCCCAAGTAGTACCTTGCCGTGGAGGTATGCTATTAGCCTCGGAAAGACGGCGTATTGCTGGATTAATTCCTATACAATATTATTAAAATGTTAATGTTTTAACTAATGCAAGTAAATTCTAATTTTTTTACCGTTTCTTGTGAGATTATTTCCAGCTCCTAATTGAGCTGATATTCCTCTACTGCTTCCCGCGGTATTATTTGAATCTGGTGCTTGTTCCTGCCCTTGTCGATTTGCTAAAGATTCAATCATAAGATCAAGCTGTGAATGGTTGTTACTGGCGTTATTTGGTAATGACACTGTACCAGCTCCACCTTGTCGATTTTGCAAAGCTGCTATTAACCGATCAATTTGACTATAATTACTACCACCATTGTCTTCAATAACTACACCATCTGCCCCAATTGTAAGATTAGGTATAAGTTGATCTGTTGAACAGTTTTCTCTTCCAGGCACATAACGTTGATATTTAGCAGGATGCGGATTGCCATCAGCATCAACTAAAAATGGTGGTGGCATTAAATGTGGCATAATTTGAGTTTGTTCATCAACAACATGATGGGCTGTGTCTCTTAATAGTGGTCGATAATCGGTATGGAAAAACAATTCATTGGGTAACTGTATATAAATATAAAGAAATACTTATATAGACAAAAAAAAATTTTTAATTATTATTAGAATACGTACAATTTTGTATTTATCAGGTCCAATTCCTAGACCAAATATTAATATATGTCCATGAGAGTCTGTAGCAGCAATCATCGTACCATCAGGTGACCACTTAGCATCAAATACACCTCCATGACCCTGACCATCAATATCGTTAACAAAATGAGCGACAGAGATGCCCTGTTCTATATCCCATAGAAATACTTGACCATCGTGTCCTGCTGAAAGCAACACATGCTCATCTTTTGGATTTGTTTCCAAAACATATAATTCGTCTTTGTGTCCACGTAACACGCGGTGAAGTTTGGCAGTTTTTGAATTCCAAATTTTTATCTAAATATTTAATTGTTTATTACATTTAAATTGGATATTGATTATATTTACACTTACTGTGAAATCATTTACAGCAGTTATCACATACTTATCAGAGCAATCCCATGCTACCATAGTTACTTTAAGTTTCTTTCCTTCCTCGGGTTCAGGACATCTAATAAATTTTAAATACAATTATAATTAATTTATAGTTTTCGAAAATTATTTATATACTTACGTTGGCAACCGCTCAGACATACATAATTTAACACTTTTCCATTGCTGTGATTCAAAACTCCATACATGTGCTGTGCCATCTTTACTACCTGATATAAAACGCAATCCACGATGCGACCATTGAACTGAATCCACTGCATCTGTGTATGCTTCTGATTCTAATATTCGCTTTGGCCCGTCTTCCGACATAAGATATACGCGAACATGATGATCTGCGGAACCTGCAGCAAGAAATATACCTCCTGGTGAAAAACTAGTACACATCATTTGCGCTTGACCCGGCCTTAATTTTTCATGAAATTGAGTAGGTTTTGGTGCAAAAGAAACTTTTTGACCACGAGGTGTTGAATATTGCCAAAATGCTATAGAACCATCTGTGCTAGTTGTTACTAAGTACTTTAGATCACCTCTCGGAGAGGGACAAAAATTTACTGATGTTATCATGCCTGTATGTGAAGACAAAACAGCAATCGGTGAAGTAGATTGTAAATCCCAAACGCGCAAAATGCGGTCTAGTGAACCGGCAGCTAACATTGTGTTATCTAAATTAATTGCAATATCTGTAATTTCTGCTGAAGCCCCACGTAAAGTTGCTAATAATCGGCCATCTGTTGCCGACCATATTTTAATTAATAAATCATCGGCTCCCTAAAAAAAATATTGATATTGTGAATAAAAGCATATATATTGAAGAGGTAACAATACCGTTATAATATAACGTCCTGTGCGATCAAATAGTACGCAATATACTGATGATAAGTGACCAACAGTTCGACGTAAGAGCTTCGTT